TACCCTGTAGTTTAATAACTCATTATCAACAAATGGTATGACATTTAAATAGAACCATTACTGTTTTATCAGCTGTATGAGAGCAAGCTAATAATCTGCAAGCAAACATGATAATAATGCCACAGCATCCGGTTTTTCCAACTTTGTACTCAAGATTTTAACAGACATTGAGAGCAGAATCACCATGGAAGAGTGAAACACCATGCATTTGTATGAACTGAATCTCATGATGGTGTTTCCCTAGTTATTAGAGACTCTGTTTGATATTTCCCCTTCTTCAAAAACACAATTCACATGCAGTTAACTAACAGCTGGAAACTTGCCTGATTGTTTCATTAGACTGCAAAAAACATAACCCAGGGAAGCAGGAGCACTAAAAAACTGACTTGTGTAATTGCTGTTGCAAAAGAGCTTGCAGCTTCTATCCAGCCTCTGAGAAACAGCTGGTGTGCTGATGTGCTACATTTAATGTGGTCTCTCCTACTTCTATATGAATTATTGTCTCAAAGGAAGGAAAATTATGACATACCATAGTAACTTTTCTCTCTGCAGGACCTGCCACCAAAGCTGCATTGGGTGGACACATAAGTTCATACACTACAAACATAAATGCTATTTTCATGGAACACTCTGAATAAATCTAAATGCTTGAAATGGTTAAATGCTGATGTCAGCTGTAGTTTGATATGCTCTCAACGGTCCTCAAGTCATGGTATGATAAATTCTATATTCTTCAGATATAAGAGATTTTCCATTTCTCTTGAAACAGAAATTTGGAAAATTTTCATGATCTTCTCCATTCATTCCCCTGTTCTTTTGTTACTATAATTTCCTGTTTACCCCTCAAATGATTTAGTTAAAGCATGAAATTAATTCATGAAACTCCTTAAGCTGCTCTCCCCATCTTGCCTTTCCTCCTATCTCTGCAAGGTCATAATATGGTGTTATCTGAGGCTCAGTACTGCTGCATGCCTCTCCCCATCTTGCCTTTCCTCCTATCTCTGCAAGGTCATAATACGGTGTTATTATGTCAGTACTGCTGCCTGGCCCCCCCATCCTTGATCATTTTGATTAATATTTTTTCCCCTCCAGGTGCAAAGCACTGTCCCAATATCCTGCTGTCTGCAATTATCACAGCTTCAATTTTGTTTGAAACCCTAGCTTTAACTCTTCAACTCCTTTCTCTGTGTGTAAGTAATTTAATTCCTGCTGGAATTAATACAAATTATGCTGTTCCTGGCCTCTTTATGGGGACATAACCATATACTGATTCTTCACCCGAAAATCCACAGCAGATATAACAGCCAAAGACTGTGTGTGTACCATACCAGGCCCTATGGCATTCAGGCCTCATTTGTGACTTCTCTCCTGACCTACATCAGCTGATTAAGGTCTAGTATCCTTTGTGGGCAGGATGTATCAAGGACAAGATAATCTCCCACATCAGAGATTAGATTGCACCACACTGCCAAGCACACCTTTGCTCTGATTCATGCCTGTACACATAGTTACACGGAAGCCACAGCCCTCTCTGGCCTAATCAAGGCTTGTTTGTGTCTGTCCATCTCTGACTGACCACAGATTTTAGAGACAGCAGATTACATGTGATGTTATTTCTCAGATCTTGCTCCTTGGATCTACACTTTTGTTGTGGTAAGCTTTAGGTGAAAGCAAACATGGAGAAGATTCCAACTGCATTTGGACACCAACCATCCAAACCTATCCTAATTCACTGTTGCCTCTAAGCTGAAGTGATATGAGCTACTGATACAAATTCTTCTACCCAAATTCCCAAGGAAATTCATGGAGTTCAAAGTGAGGGATTTTACAGATATGAAAGCAATGAAAAGGATAATGTAACAACTGCAAACAACTGTGGAGACTGAGAAGATCTCACAGCTTTAGATCACATGTGGCTTAACTTTTTTTTTAAAAAAGTCCAAGGAGGGAGGAATCTGGCTTTGACTTCCTTCAAGTTGTCCTCTTCTCTACATGTTCTTTCATGTTTGCAGGTATTGCCTTGAAATACTGACAGCTAGACAGACAAAGCATTATGTTAACTACAGTTTCTACTCTTCAACATTACTGTTAGGGGTTTTAGCATGAAATTAAATTCGGTTTCTGTAGCAGTGTACACTCCAAACTCTTTGCTCAAGTCTAAGAGTTGATACAATTCCCTTCAAATTTTCCTGGCTTGTTGATCTTGTTCTATCTGCTTCACTTGCGCAAGAGCTCAAATTTTTTTAATCCTTTTAAAAACAGTTTGCAATCAAAAAGATTTCTACTGGAATAGCTTCCTATTGCGGAATCTGAAGGGTTTTTTTTTCTGCTGGCAATCCTGATAGCTTCTAATGTTACTTATTTGTTCTTTCTTTTAAACTTAAATTGAAATGTGTCATAGTTGTGTGAACACAAAAGACTCTTGCCAACTCGTAAACTATGAAGCAGTAATAAATTAATGGAACAGTAATAAATGTCTTCCCCAAACTTTGTGGCACACCTCAAAATACTTTTGCTGTTGCTGATTTGACAACTCTTTGTAAACAAATCTCTACTACTTTTCCTTCTACCTATTGTCAATGATGTTTGTTCATAAAATTCCTTCCTAGTAAAATTGTAGTAAGAGCCAAAATCTTCATTGCCCCTTCCACTGTAACACACAGTTTAGGAATGAGGAACAACTTCTGTCTGCTAAAATAAAGCCATGAGAAAGACATATCCCTTGGTATGATTCCTCTGTTTTAGTGCAGTGGGGAAAAGAAGGAAAACCCCTTATTCCATTACTTGCCCATTTTCTTCCTTCTCATTCATGGATTAGTTTTGTTTGACAGGAAATCCAGAAATAGAGATTAACTGTCTTTAAGCAGTTGGGGTTATAGACTAGTGGCAGAAATAAGTAGTTAATTTCTATTTCTTATCAGCCCCTTTTTTTTACTCTGAAGAAGGACTGGAGATTATTCTTCAGTGATTTGCTGTACCTATATATGTAAAAATTATAGAACCTATAATTTGACTTTTTGTTTCTATAACCTGAGACTCACTGCAAAACACACATCCCTGAAGTACAGAGAGATAACTAGGTTTTTAGGATGTGGAAATAGATAGGGAGGGCTACTCCATGTTTCAGCATAGTGCTACTTAGAAAGGTTTGTTTTGAAAAACAAAACAGGACAAAACAAACCCACTACGCCAACACCACCACCACATACTCCAGATTATAAGAACTGAGAAGCAGATTTTTTCCCATTTTTTGTTTTCTTCATACTTTAGCTTCCTCCTCTTCTACCCGTGCCCTCTCAACATTGTGACTGGGCAACAAAGAACAAATCTCACCTACAGGCAGAAGAACAAAACCCTTCCTCACAAGAGGAGCAGAGGAAGGGAAGAATGAGAAACATGAGGTTAGTGAGATTAGAACAGGGGTTTATAGGGAGAGAATCAATCCCATCTGGACTAGGAGCCTGGGAGGTATCAGGTTGCTTCAGGAGCAAACAGGGTAGCATGCAGAGCCTGGCATCAGCTGGCTCTCCACCTCCCTGGCAGTGGGGCTGAGTGAGTCTGACCAACCATCACAGGTATTTGAGACTGAAGGATTTGGATTTTATACACATTTTGTATTCATTTTGATTCATTCTCTTATGGTTAGCATTAAATACATTCACTAGGAGAGTCTACTGGTAGGAGAGGGATGTACCCACTGTCAAACCAGGTTCTTGACCTGCCTAATTTACAGATTTTCAGCCTTAGAGTTTTTAACTCTATGACAGTGGAAGTGGAATTTCCAAGTAAAGAATTTTGGTGATTTAGCCATAATGTTGCACTCAAAAAGACTGGGGACAACCCATTAGACCATAGAGCATGAGAACAATTAGAACAGAAAGATAGAAACAAAATTAAAAGCAAGCAGGTAAGAAAGTCTTTGGTATTGCTAGTTTGTGTCTCCTACCTCTGAGGACAGATGATCCAAAAAGTGCTTGCAGGAAAAAAGAATTTTACAGGTGTTGGGTGTCAAAAATGTTGAAGTGAAAATTTACTCCAAATCAGTTAATACTGATTTTTATTTAAAAGAGTTATTTAAAAGCTTATTTAAAAGAGATGGGTTTGTTCTTTTGATGTTCTTGACTTGAGACTTGAGACTTGAGGCAGTCTGTGATCTTTGCTTGCCTTTCACACTGTATGGATAAACAAAGGGTGCTTTCTGTAAATTACTTTCTTCTACCTTTGCACTTAAAAAGATAATGGATAAAAAAAAGATACAAGATCACAACCTCAGCTTAAGTGTGCAGTACTTTTCAGTGTCTTCAGGAGATCAGTGTAAATCTTTGCCCCTTAAATTGCCTCACCATAAGTAACATATGTAAAACAGAATTAGAACCCTTGGCTGAGTAAGGAATGTCTTAATTTATTTTGTAAAGAAGAATATGGTGCAAGAAAAATATCCTTCACAGTTCTCAAAATGTATTTAGAATCAGAGTAGATTGCATAAGATTGAGTGAAAAAATTTCCATTGACATAAATATTTGATCTCTCTTAAATATAAACAAACAAGGATACAATAGTCCCCATTTATCTGTTATGAGTTTCCACATAAATTACTACACACTCTAAGAAACCACCATACGTTTTCTTTGGATCTTATTGTTGCAAGATTGTTTCCTTGTATATTGGTTAGAATACTTATGTCAGACCCCAAGTTTACAACTCACAATTTTTGCCATGGAGCTGAAACTCCCCAAGAATTTCTGTTTCTTTTTATAATGAGCTTTTTACTATTTTGTTATAATAACTGTACTGCTTGAAGAAAGAAATTATTTTTAATAAAGCCACTTGCCAAGTTAGCACATGATTAATCTATACATACAGCAATCAAAGAAAGGACTAAAGAATATTTTTGCCTCCAAGGAATGCCATAGTTACAGAACAGTTCCTCCAGAAGATAAAAGCTGGGACATTACATGCACAGACTCCTCTCAGCCAGAAGATTCCCCATAAAAACAAACCTTTTGTGAATCAGTAAAGAGGTGGGGGGTTGCTGGGCATCCTCTGCTGTGCTGGCACTCAAGAGAAAGGATGGCAAAGAGAAGAAGCTCTTCCTTCCCTCCCAGTGAGCAGCAAGGGCTCTGGACAGCCAACCCCTGTGCCCACAAGTGGAATTTCACTCAGTGCGTGGCCGATGGGGGCGGAGGGAGTGTGACTGCCCTCCCTGAGGGGTAGAGGCTGCTCAGGGCTCCCTCTGTCCCTCTTGTGTACAGTAACCAAACGCAGCACAGGACACACCTCTCTGCTCCCCAAGAAAGCTCTTGCATATTCCCTCCTGCATTGGGTTGATAAGTACTTAGCCTTAAGTCCCTCAGGAGGGAAGGGACTGAATGGCATGTAAGGAACAAAGTCAGCTGGTGGGGAAAGAAATACACGGCAGATAAGATAATCTGTTGCCTTCATATTAAGTCATTAATTGTAGCAGAATAAAGCTGAAAGAAAAAAAAATCAGCGAGGTAATTCCTCAGAGAAAACAAGCATGTTTTTCCTTCATTTCATTGGGTTTTATGCTGTCTGTTTCACTGCAACAAAAGCCTTAGAAAGGCAATAACACCTGTGTTAGGAAGCCTTTGAGCTAAGAAAAAAAAAGGAACAGACATTTTAAATTAAGCATTAATACAATAATACAGAATTATTATTCATTGAAATACCCAGTTCTGTACTTGCTGTTTTTCATTCAATCTTACACACAGAGCATTCTGAAGAACACAGAAGCTGAGTAGAATGTAAAGAATTGACACATCTAAGAAATTCTGCATTTTTCAGCTTTAGCCACATGACTGCTAACAAATTTAGTAAATTGGAAGCTGACTCCAGAATCTAGTTGTTTTTCTCAGAACTCTTTTCAAACCAGTATCTTTCTCTGCCTGAACTTTACTGGAATTCAGCCTTGGGTTCACAATTATCACAGCAATTCCTCAGACTCAGCACCGTCCAGTCAAAGGGACCACACAGTACATGAGCAGGCACTGACAGAGGACACACTGTTGTATTTACATTAGTGCCTCACTTAAGGGTCCAAGTGTGCTTCCTCTAGCATCTGCCAGACCTCCTGGCTTGGATCCAGGAGACTGTAATAGCAATGCCAGTAACAATTAGGGGCGATACACCCTTTATTCCCAAAGAACCATTATCGTTGGTATTAAATATTTACACAGTAGTGACTACAGGCCCCAGGTTTGGCATTCTGCTTCACTATCCAGCAGATAAAGAGCTTCTTTGTAGGGAGTTCACTGCACTTGGGGTGAAGAAAATAATACGAGAAAAACAAACAAAAGAAGAAAGGGCAAGTCCCAGTAAGTCAGTCATGCTATACACTTTCATCTTATTCTGCTGGAACTTCCTGACCAGCATAGTAAGGATCATTCTAAAACATCAGTGAGGTATTTCAGAAAGTACTGAAGAGTTGGTAGTTTTCAAGAGTGTGGTTGGGCGTGAGGAATTTGCTGAAGAGTTTTCAACTCAGGACTATGCAAAGGTTATAGAGACAAACATATACCATGGACAATGAGTCACAGAATGTGCTGCTGAATTTGTCTCTCATAGCCATGACATATGTATAGTTTCAGAGATTTACAACTCAGAAACCTGCTGGGAGGACAATACCAGCAGCCATTCTTTGTGGAAACAGACTAACACCCACTGCCTGTTTGTTTTTCCCCTAAAAAATTAGGGTGTTAACGTTTCTAGCAATGCCACTGTAATCCCCTGCAACAGCATCAGGAAATGGAGAACTTTACTTCGGTCTCATACTCGGCATAAGGAGATTCAGTCTCATTCCTCCAGTTCCTACAGATCAGGCTTGGACCAGGAGACCTGGAAGGGCACTGCCATGACCTGTACTGGAAAAAATGGTACCGAGTGTGCAGCAATGAGGAGGAGATTCACTAAGGAAAAAAGTACAGCCAAAGGAAAGCTTGAGGCTGTGGCATTGCTGTTCATGACACTCCAGTACAGAGCCAGGTTCAGAGTCTTGGAGTCATTCTCACCACACAGAGTTAAAGAAACACTGCTTTTGGTGTGACTTTTGCCGAGTGATACAGTCCTAATCTCTTCAGCCACTCAAGAGCAGCCAACAGCCTGTGTCTTGGGGTGAGCAAGCCTTTGAAAGTCCCTGGAGTGAAGAGGTCACTGAAGCTGCTCCTCCAGCTCACGTCCATGGCTGCCTCTTTTTGTCAGGTCTGCTCCTAGCTGCTGCATTGAGGCATGCAGTAAATGCACCTGGTTAGAGAGCTTCTCAGTGTGCTCCGAGCAGATTCCTGCTTGATACTATTTTTATCACCTCACCCCAAAATGAACACTATGGCTACTGCAGAAACAGCAAACAACTACAGTTTTTTATTATGTTTCTGGCTATCCAGTTCACACAACTGGGTTTAAAATAAAATTTGGCTTGACTTTATAAAGTCAGTTTTGAATCTTCTAATCCAATCCAAGTCCTTCCTTGGATTTAACCGAATATGCCCCCATATAATCTTGTTAATCTGCAGCCACCAAGTGATCATCATTGCACCCTGGAGCCAGATTTACAGGAGATTAGAGTGGAGAGTCTCCAAGCTGGCTCAGAGACCACAGGCAGTGTTAGGCACAGCAGCCCCGTGCCCACAGAGCTGTACGTGGGGCAGGGCACAGGACAGAACCAGACCTGAGACCTCACCACCGAGTCACACTGGGCTGGGGGCTTGCACCAGCTCACTGTGTGGGTGCAGGACTCTCACCACTGTGCTCCTACTGTCGCTGCAGAAGTTGCTGCAGATTGGAAAAAATAGGCTGTGGACAGACTGCACTGAAATAAATCTTAAGGAGTTTTCCTGTTGACAAGAAAATATGGTGAAATTGTTGAACTAGTAGGGTAAGGATCAAGGGCTGCTAAACCCACACTGGTCAAGTTAAACTGAGCTTAGATATATCCTGGAAGGACACAAGCTACAGCTAAAAAATATCAGGTATTTAACCAAGTGAATTATCTCTGATCTCGAGAGACAGCGTCCTCATGTACTTCATGACTCCTGTACCAGAATGACTCTCTGTGGAAATGCACAAAACTTAATCCAGAGAAAAAAAAACTTTGATGAAGAAATTTCACAGACTTCAATATTCACTCAAACATATTTGCAGTCCAGCCACATGTTCTTATTTTCCACAGGGAATTTTTTTCTGTATATATCTTAATCTTAGTCTGGACCAGAACAAGCCATACTTGATCCTGGCACACAGACCAAGGAGGAGAAGATAATTGGAAACCCTGGAAGATAAGTAAAAGCCCAAACTTGTTTTCAGTGTATTTATACTTTGAACAATTGAAGACTTGGCCTTTAAAATTAACTTGGTTTCTCTTTCAAGAATCATATTAAGTATGCACAAATACTTGAAAATATAAAAAGGACAAGCTACATCCATTATTTCATAACACTATATCAGTGTAACAGATATTTCTGCTCCTATAAATATTTGTACTGTTTGTTGTTTTTTTCTTCTTCTTAGGAAGCACATCTACCCCTAATGCAGAGTTTAGTCTTGCATGATAAATTCCTTTCTAACAGTCCTGTCTGAGCCTACTAAATACATGCTGAAGTGAGAGGTAGCAGTACTAGACTAGGCTATGCTGATAAATGTGCTCCATTGTGCACCATGTGATGAACTAAGAATTTGTGAAAATACAAATATGCCCCTGGGATTTTATGGCAAACGTTAAGTTTCATTTAAGAATAAATTGTGGTTAATTATCTGTCCCAAGGGATGGCAGTTCTGGGGTTCTTATGGCTAATTCAAACAACTGTAATATCAGTTATTCAGCAGTGGTAGTAATTAGAAAGATATCCAAAGGAAAAAATCCTTCCTGGAAGTTGTCCGAGTTCTGTAGGTAGGTCAAGGAACATAAACTTTTCACGCTTTTAAGGTATTTTATTAATAAAATTTAATAAAAAAATAAAATAAGAAAAGAAATTTACCATCACTTAACATTCTTCTTTTTACCTAGAAGATATATCGTGACTTATTTGAGCAGAACAATGGATTAATGTGAAGATGGAAATACAAGTGGAAGAAAGAGCTGGAATCTGATGTGTACCAAGATAATTGTAGTACATATGTTATAAAAATATGCAAATCAAATAAATTAAGCCAATAAAATTAAAGACAAAAATATATATGTGGAGAAATCCATGTGATTATAAGAAGACAGCATTAGTCAGCTCATAAGGAGTCTTGGCATACAAGCCTTAAACAGATCACAATCTATGCAACAAATATATATATATGTACACATATATACTGTATTTATACACAGGTGAAAAGGGCACAAAATAAAGACAGCACAAACCACCCACCTTCCCCTGGCACACATAGACTCTTCTTTTAACTAGTTCAGAACGCCCCAATTCAACATCCCAGCTTGTAAAATACACAAATATATGGGTAAAAGGCAAGGCTTTTTAAAGATAAATTATTCTACTTACTGAGGTCTTAATTAAGGCTGAAATTTATGCTCTTATTCATTCCTTCAAGAACAAGTCTTCAGTTTTCCTTTTCATCATTGCCAAACCTCTTTTATACTGTTTGTTCTAAGAGTGTTAGTCCATCCTTAATTCAGATAAACTGACTAATTAAGCAAAGCTGTTCAGCTGCATTCCTCTGCTCAGTTGCTCCTGGAAGGGGAAGAACTCAACCCAACTCAAAGAAACACTCACACTTTTGTGGCTGTTGGGAAAAATGGGACAATTTCCTTGGGCATTTTCCTATTAATATTGCTCTTGAAAAAAAAAATTAAAATATCATATGAATTGTATTCAATTTAAAGAAAAAAACAACATAAAATTCTGCCCTTTATTCACTATTTTCAAAATATCGGATTCCAAACAAAGCAAAATTAGGCAAAAAATGAAAGATAAGAAATGGTTTGTAATTTCCTTAGAAACATGATAAATTAATCCTGATTTCTTTCATAATACCTCTCATATTTCAGCATTAGTCTAGGATAG